GTTTTCACATATTCTGCCACAAGTAGGAGCTAGGATTTCAGTGAACCCCAATTTTTGACAGTAACAAAAACCAGCTGAGGAATAATCAGTTTAAGAAACTTCAGTAAAATGGAATCTCGAGGAACAACAAGTGATTGTGAGGTATTATACAGGCTGTAATTTAACAAGGCAAAAAACGGGTAACAGAAAGTGGGCGCCCCTTCATAGAATTGGCACAATTTGGGCGTATGAGAAGATGGCACAATGCATCTCACGGATATCTTAGGCCACTCAATACATTGGTACAATTGCAATATGTGCAAGACTAGTGGTTTTCTGTCTATTTTGCTTTAAGCCTCAGACTTAAAACATGGGGATTATTTGGCCATGTTGTGTCTGTGGAATTTCTGGCTGTCAGCTAGTTGTTGAATGCGGATTTGAGTTGCCCAGAGGCCAAGTGCAAACCTTGGCCTGAAAAATTGCTCTGGTGCATAGAACAAATTTAAGAGTCTTGAAGCTCACTCTGATGTGGTCCTGGAGCACAGCTCATAAAGGCAGAATCCCTGTTTTGAAGAGGAACTTCTCACGAACAACTTGCTTCCTCTCCGCTAGGTGTACATTCATAGGAAACCAGGATACATACGAGACTCACCTGGAAATGTGCAAATTTGAAGGTCTGAAGGAGTTCCTCCAGCAAACGGATGACCGCTTCCATGAGATGCAAGTGGCCATGGCTCAGAAGGACCAGGAGATTGCCTTCCTGCGCTCCATGCTGGGCAAGCTCTCAGAGAAGATAGACCAGCTGGAGAAGAATTTGGAGCTGAAGTTTGGTGAGTCTCTGAAGAAGGCAGGTAGCTCTGCTTTCTGTTGCTGGGGGGGCCATGTAAGCCCTCACATCTATCGTTCTGATAGATTTCTATAATATCCCGAGAGCTGGTTTGGGGTAGTGCTTAAGGCATCAGGCTAGAAACCAGGAGGCTGAGAGTTCTAGTCCCACCTTAGACATGAAGCCGCCTCACTCTCCAACCTATGGAGAAGGAGGCAACAGGTAAACCATTTCCAAAAACGTTTCTAGGAAAACTGCAGGGACTCATCCAGGCAATTGCCAGGAGTCAAAAACTGATTTAAAGATGCCTAAATAAATAAAATCCTGGAGCATTTTGCTCTGAGTTGTGATTTCTTTAGAGAATCAGTGTTCTGCTTTTTTAAAACATCCAGTTAGTCCTACCCACTGTAAAAAAGAAAATCTGGCACAGCTCCCAGGGACCAAAAATTGTTCATGCACAGTTCTGATTCAAAATTGAAAGAATGAATTAAATGAATACATGCATGCATGCATGCATGCATACATAACAGTGGTGGTGCAGTGGTTAGAATGCAGTACTGCAGGCTACTTCTGCTGCCTGCCGGCTGCCCGCAGTTTGGCAGGTCGATTCTCACCGGCTCAAGGTTGACTCAGCCTTCCGTCCTTCCGAGGTGCGTAAAATGAGGACCCAGATTGTTGGGGGCCATAGGCTGACTCTGTAAACCGCTTAGAGAGGGCTGTAAAGCACTGTGAAGCGGTATATAAGTCTTAAGTGCTGTTGCTATTGCTATAACTGGGGGCTCCAAAATAGCCAAGAAAGTCAAATATGTATCCCGTTGCTGATCATCCTAGCTGGACATTTTGGTCAGATTTCTTTTCAGGAAGAATATTGAGTTTTCTGACCATCTGAGACTGGAGAGCTTTTTCCTTTGAGCAGCCTATGGGCAAGAGCACCCATGGGGCTGACTTCTAAGGGGTCAGTGCGGAGATGCTGCTTGCAGGTGGGCAGAAGGCCAGGCATACTGCGGAGGTCAACTGAAAACGGGGTGCCCAGAACTTGGGGCACATTTCCTCAGCGATCCTTACATCCGTAACTCTGATGGCAGCTCAGTTAGTTGAGATGTTCTTGCACTTGCTTAAAGTGGTGCTGAGGCTCAGAGAACAGGGATCAGGAAGTAAAAGTGCATGGTTGGATGGTTCGTCCAAGTGCCATAAACAAATAATAATAAATGACCAAATTGTTACAGAAAAAGATTCTTCTGTACAAATAAACCTATTCTTCATTGATCTATTACATTTATAGGCTGCCCCTGGCACCGAAAAGGTGACTCTTTGCACTGCAAGAACTTTCAGCAGAATATTTCTGGAGCAGGAGACTGAAATGGATTGGGATTAGTTTGGGTGTGAGGTCTCAGTGGGTTTATGATTTATTTCCATTTGCAACCAGAAATCATATGCCCCGTTTTCCTACCTGTCATTGTTCAGATGTGCTGGATGAGAACCAGAGCAAGCTAAGTGAAGATCTGATGGAGTTCCGGCGAGATGCCTCTATGCTCAACGTGAGTGTCAACCAGTCATCTAGCACAGAAAGACGCCTGGCCATTTGGTTTTGCCAAGAGTCTACTTTACTGAAGCTTAGGTGGTTACAGAAGTAGCCTATGCGGAATCTGAGGTTTTTCCCATGCAAACAACACAAAATAACTGTCCCTCTTACGCACACGCACACACCAGTTATTTGTAAATGTCCAATTAGGTGCTTGTATATTGTTTAGGAGATAGATGCTTGATTCCCAGCTCTGCATTTCAATAGTTGATCTTCGCTGGCTGAAGCTTCTTGCAAGGCACAACTGGGCTTCCATCCCCCCCCCTCTTCCTTACAGTCCAATCTCTCCCCCTCCCCCCCCCCCCCCAGTTGCTAATGTCTGGCTGTCAGCTCATGAAGCCTGGATAGGGGAGATGCAGCCCTGCCAATGGGTGCCATTTCCTCCCCAGGGCGGGCATGGATGGGCCTGGGACTTTGGGGGATGACTTTCTGCAGTATGTTAGAAGCTGGGCTTCTCCTCCTTTGTGCACGTGTGGCAAAAACAGGAATCTTGGCCTCCACACTCCCTGCCATGCATTGGCCTGAAGACGCACAACAAAATGCCAGTTTCAGGCAAGGAAATTAATGTAGCCTGAGGAAAAGCACATAGAGAAAACACGCCTTATACAGGTAGTCCTCAACGTACGACCACAATTGAGCCCCAAATTACTGCTTTTAAGTGAGATAGTTGTTAAACAAATTTTGCCCCATTTTACGTCTTTTCTTGCCACAGTTGTTAAGTAAATCACTACAGTGGTTAAGTTAGTAACATAGCTATTAAGTGAATCTGGCTTTGCCATTGTCAGAAGGTCGCAAAAGGTGACACAGCAACTGTCATAACTATGAATCAGTTGTTGAGCATCTGAATTTTGATTACGTGACCACGGGGGGGATGCTGCAATGGCCATAAGTGTGAAAAACGGTCATAAGTCACTTTTTTCAGTGCCGTTGTAACTTTGGTCACTAAACAAACTGTTGTAAGTCGAGGACTACCTATACAAAGCCTCCAGGTTAGACTAACAACCGACCAAAAACAGTTCATTAAGAAAGGTGAAATACAGTTTCCTGCCTTTTTTGTTGATAAATACCCACAAATATCAACCAGAAAACTCACAAACCTGTCAAATTCTCACCTCACAAAAAAGGGCACCAGTTGAAGTTAAAACCTTTAAAAAAAAACTTAAATAATCATATACATGTGTCCCTGTGTTAATCTCTCTCCCGGAATAACACACACACACACACACACACACCTCGCTTCTTACCAGAAACAGAAAGCCCACTTTACAAACACAAACCTGCCTGGTGGGTCCTGCATTTCTCTGCTTCTCAGCTGCCCGGAGAAGTTGAGGTGACATGTAGAGGGTGGGATGGATGGGCGGGCCGAGGGATGGATGAATAAATAAATACATCCCGGGAGAAAAAGTGATGGGTAAAACAAATGTGGCATTGTCTGAACAAGACCTGGATTCCTCCCTCAGGCATCTTTACAAACCAACATTAAAATCAACCTTCGGTTCATTTTGCTGTGTGAATGCAGCTGTATGTTTGTTCACTAAATTATAGTTCAAACCGTGGTACACAGCCTGGTTCCAAAGCCAAGGCTTGCAAAACAGCTTCAGATCCAAGTGCTGCTCAGCCATTGCCCCTGCCAGCCCCTGTTCATGCTGTGGGCACCCACTCTCATCCCTCCCGGTCAGTTATTATTATAATGATGATGATGATGATGATGATGATGATGATGATGATGATGATGATGATGATGATGATGAAGTTGGAAGGGACCTTGGAGGTCATCTAGTCCAACCCTATACCATTTCGGACAAATGGCTGTCCAGTCTCTTCTTAAAAATCTCCAGTGTTGGAGCATTCACCGCTTCTGGAGGCAGGTTGTTCCATTGATTAATTGTTCTAACTGTCAGGGAGTTTCTCCTTAGTTCTAGGTTGCTTCTTTCCTTGATGAGTTTCCACCCATTGCTTCTTGTCCTGCCTTCAGGCGCTTTGGAGAGTAGCTTGACTCCCTCTTCTTTGTGGCAGCCCCTGAGATATTGGAACGCTGCTATCATGTCCCCCCTCGTCCTTCTCTTTGTTAAACTAGACATACCCAATTCCAGCAACCGTTCCTTATATGTTTTAGCCTCCAGTCCCCTAATCATCTTTGTTGTGGTGGCTTGGGGCTCACAAAACTCGACTCCTCCGTCTGTCGAGCAGAGCAGAGCAGAGCAGAGGGCAGCGCTTACGTTTTCCACTCCTGTCACACCTCAGTGTCGAAATTACCATTTTTCCCTCTTGGCCTTTATCACCTGCCTTCTTTCTCTCTACAGGATGAACTGTCTCATATCAATGCCCGACTGAACATGGGGATTCTGGGCTGTGAGTATCTACCACCTTTTCTTTCTTTTATTAGTTTATAATATACAATACAATGAAAATAACAAAAGTAAATAGCGGAAAAGATAGGGAAGGGGAAAGGGACTAGAGAAGTGAGGTAAGGGAGAAAAAAAGGGGGAAAAAAGGCATTGGCATCCGACTTCCTTTGGTGCAGTAAAGTAGAATATCAACATCAAACCTCAATCTAATTGGTAAAACCCAAAATCAAATTTTCTTTTTTTTTTCACCTCAAACACAAAGTCTAGAAGCAGTTTTCCACGTAACCATAAAAGTATTCGTATTCTTTTCTTTAATCAGTACAGTCAGTTTAGCCATCTCTGCTAGCTCCATCAGTTTTTGTAACCATTCCATGTAGTCCTCCATTTCTGAGTGTAGAGTAATCTTGCTGCTGTCAACATATATAACATCAAAGTTCCATATATATTTTTCCCAGGTCTTTGTCCATTCGCCCCAAGTACCTTTTCTTTCTCCTTGAACAGAAAGAGGCATTCTGGGGTTTCTGGGTGTAGAGAAGCTTTTCTTCTTTATCATATAAAACTTCTAATTACTGACTCGGAAGTTCTGCTTTCAGAATGAGAACTAATTAGATGTTTGGGGTTTTCTTTTTCTCTTCAGTTAAGAACAACGTTGTATTGAAAAATGTAGCAAGCAAAATAATTTCACTGGATCATCTGAGGCTGGAATGAGATTATGCCATTTTTTCCAGTTTTACAGTTTTTTCCTTCATGCAAAAGACTGGAAAATAGATTTAATTCAAAGAATGCTACTGAGTGCATTATTGACCTTTTTTTCTTATTTAATGATATGTTGATCGTACTTTTATTTCTGATCACCTTTCGCTGGGGATGTGTATGAATCACTTGCTGAAGCTGCTTGGCAGTAAATTCAAAGCAGTTTAGAAAGTGTTTTTTACACAAGTATTTTCTTTTAAAGTCCCATTTTTACCGGCTCTGGGAACCTCCTTTTTTTTTTTCTCTGTGCCTGCCCTGCTCTTACTTCCTTTTCAAACAAAGCAAAGCTTCCAGATCTGATTCATGGGTCACCTGGTTTAGGATTATTGACTTATTTAGCCTATTCACATAGTCACCCGTCTCACAAACACGCAAGTCTGATGACATACACCATAACAGCAGCTGAAAACTCCATAACATTAAAAACAGTCCAAGATAAATGAAATAAGCATATAAGGCAAACATAAAATAAATGTAATCCCAAGAAAGCAGGAGAACAAACATCACTTAATCTTATGCAGGCACCGTATAGGCTCTCTCTGGGATCCCCAAGGCTGGTGAAAAAAGTATGCTTTAAAGCAGGAGTCTCCAACCTTGGCAACTTTAAGACTTGCTGAATTCTGGGAGTTGAAGTCCACAAGTCTTAAAGTTGGCAAGGTTGAGGACCCCTGCTTTAAAGGCTTTCCAAGAGGCTGGCAGAGATGGGGCTAACTACACCTGGGGGGAGGGGGGATGATGCTCCAGGGGAGGGGCCACAGCAGGAAAAACAGGCCACCTGGGTCCCACCAGATGGAGTTCCCCAGGAGAGAGAATCTGCCACCTGCAGTAGCCCTCCTGCCTGACCTAGTGGAAGGGTAGAGGTCATTGGGAAGAGGCAACCTCTCAAACAATCTGATCCTGTGCCAGGGAGCACCTTAAAGGGTCATCAACGCTGCCTGGCTCCAGGATCTGCGGCTCTTCTGGAAGGTTTTTGTCTTCCTGTCCTGAGAGAACCTTTGATCTAACTGAACACAGGTAGTCTTTGACTTAACAACAGTTCATTTAGTGACCGTTCAAAGTTACAACAGCACTGAAAAAAGTGACTTAGGACTGTTTTTCACACTTATGATGGTTGCAGCATCCCCGTGGTCACATGATCGAAATTCGGATGCTTGGCCACTGACTCACATTTATGACGGTTGCAGTGTCCTGGGATCACGTGACCACCTTTTGTAACCTTCTGGCAAGCGTAATCAGTGGGGAGAGCAGATTCACTTAACGACCGTGTTACTAATTTAACAGCTGCAGTGATTCACTTAACAACTGTGGCACGAAAGGTCGTAAAATAGGGCAAAACGTACTTAACAAATGTTTCACTTAGCCACAAAAACTTTGGACTCAATTATGGTCGTAAGCCGAGGACTACCTGTATTGCTATAAGTGCTGATCGATATGTAGAATATCTTTGTTTAATGGCCGAGCACTTGGAGGAGTTGGAGAGGACCCACTTGCAAGTCTCCCGGATCCTTTCTTGGAAAAAAGGATGTTGGGCTGGTTAGGCGCTTGCTTTGAGCCACACATCCTTGACTGCTTCTCTCCCATCTGCAAGATGACCTGCCCAAGAAACCAGATTCCACCTCTTCTCCAGGACTCGGGGTTCAGGGTGTGGCTGCTTGTGCAATAACACCCCTTCTTTTCTCTTCCTTTGCAGCCTATGACCCTCAGCAGATTTTCAAGTGCAAAGGCACTTTCGTTGGCCACCAAGGCCCCGTCTGGTGCCTCTGTGTCTATTCCATCGGTGACTTGCTCTTCAGTGGCTCTTCCGACAAAACCATCAAGGCAAGACGCTTGTTCCTTCTTTTAACCTTTGCATGTGGTACAGTGCGGACTTGAGGGGGCCTCGGGAAAAGCGCGCCCTCTTGCTCTCAGCCAGGATTCCTGGTGTCAGACCTGCCTCAATTTGGGCTTCTAAGTAAAAACGATCCTTGGTTAGTACTTGATTGTGGGCAAAGGCTGTGGACTTGAAGAAAAGAATCCCAGGGGGGGGAAAACAATATACTTTAGCAACTATCATGGTTCCGATAGACAGAGACGAATAAAGCAGAACTCCGAAGCTTGTGAATTCCTCAAAGAACATGTTTATTGGTTACAAAGTATCGGCACAGTCAAAAGTGAAATCAAGTCTGAATTTCCCACTAAAAATTACCTGGTTACAAAGTATAATGCCCCACCCTCAAGAATATGCATTTTACTCCGTTTCCCAATATAAATGTTTGGCGGGCTTTCTAATACACCACCCCATCCTTAGTCCTGGGAGTATGAGATGACCTTGATTCCCACGGGACAGAATATTGTTTAGACTAGCAGAGAGTCTGTGAAACTCCCCTCCCTCCTCTGCATGTGGCAACCTAGAATGAGACAGAGAAAGATGGCTTGTTGTAGAGCTGACAGCAACAGCAATAAAACGTAAGAGTTATGTACCATTTCAGAGTGCTCTACAGCCCTCTAAGCGGTTTACAGAGTCAGCATATTGGCCGCAACCATCTGGGTCCTCATTTTACCGACCTGGGAAGGATGGAAGGCTGAGTCCACCTTGAGCCGGTGAGAATCGAACTGCTGGCAGTTGGCAGAGTCAGCCTGCAATGCTGCATTCTGACCACTGCGCCATCAGGGCTCTTCATATCAAACCACTTCCGTTATGTTGCCAAGAATTGTAAGGAGTGGAGCTTCCCTTAAGAGGATGTTCCTTCTTCTGGCCGCCAGTAGCAGTTGCCTTTACCAAACGAGCGAGTGAGCCAGAGTCAGAGGAAGGGCCTTTTTAACTCCTGGGTGGAAGAGCCATGCAGGCTGCGTTAGAATTGTCATTCCTCCGCTCAGAACCNCCCCCCCCCCCCCCAGTTGCTAATGTCTGGCTGTCAGCTCATGAAGCCTGGATAGGGGAGATGCAGCCCTGCCAATGGGTGCCGTTTCTTCCCCAGGGCGGGCATGGATGGGCCTGGGACTTTGGGGGATGACTTTCTGCAGTATGTTAGAAACTGGGCTTCTCCTCCTTTGTGCACGTGTGGCAAAAACAGGAATCTTGGCCTCCACACTCCCTGCCATGCATTGGCCTGAAGACGCACAAGAAAATGCCAGTTTCAGGCAAGGAAATTAATGTAGCCTGAGGAAAAGCACATAGAGAAAACACGCCTTATACAGGTAGTCCTCAACTTACGACCACAATTGAGCCCCAAATTACTGCTTTTAGGTGAGATAGTTGTTAAACGAATTTTGCCCTATTTCACGTCTTTTCTTGCCACAGTTCTTAAGTAAATCACTACAGTGGTTAAGTTAGTAACATAGCTATTAAGTGAATCTGGCTTTCCCATTGTCAGAAGGTCGCAAAATGTGACACAGCAACTGTCATAACTATGAATCAGTTGTTGAGCATCTGAATTTTGATTACGTGACCACGGGGGGGGATGCTGCAATGGCCATAAATGTGAAAAACAGTCATAAGTCACTTTTTTCAGTGCCGTTGTAACTTTGAGTGGTCACAAAACAAACTGTTGTAAGTCAAGGACTACCTATGCAAAGCCTCCAGGTTAGACTAACAACCGACCAAAAACAGTTCATTAAGAAAGGTGAAATACAGTTTTCTGCCTTTTCTGCTGATAAATACCCACAAATATCAACCAGAAAACTCAAAAACCTGTCAAATTCTCACCTCACAAAAAAGAGCACCAGTTGAAGTTAAAACCTTAAAAAAAAAACTTAAATAATCATATACATGTGTCCCTGTGTTAATCTCCTCTCTCTCTCTCGGAATAACACACACACACACACACAACACACACACACACACACACACATCCCTTCTTACCAGAAACAGAAAGCCCACTTTACAAACACAAACCTGCCTGGTGGGTCCTGCATTTCTCTGCTTCTCAGCTGCCTGGAGAAGTTGAGGAGACATGTAGAGGGTGGGATGGATGGGCGGACCGAGGGATGGATGAATAAATAAATACATCCCGGGAGAAAAAGTGATGGGTAAAACAAATGTGGCATTGTCTGAACAAGACCTGGATTCCTCCCTCAGGCATCTTTACAAACCAAACTTAAAAATCAACCTTCGGTTCATTTTGCTGTGTGAATGCAGCTGTATGTTTGTTCACTAAATTATAGTTCAAACCGTGGTACACAGCCTGGTTCCAAAGCCAAGGCTTGCAAAACAGCTCCAGATCCAAGTGCTGCTCAGCCATTGCCCCTGCCAGCCCCTGTTCGTGCTGTGGGCACCCGCTCTCATCCCTCCCGGTCAGTTATTATTATGATAATGATAATGATGATGATAAAGTTGGAAGGGACCTTGGAGGTCATCTAGTCCAACCTCCTGCTCAGGCAGGAAACCCTATACCATTTCAGACAAATGGCTGTCCAGTCTCTTCTCCAGTGTTGGAGCATTCACCGCTTCTGGAGGCAGGTTGTTCCACTGGTTAATTGTTCTCACTGTCAGGAAGTTTCTCCTTAGTTCTAGGTTGCTTCTCTCCTTGTTTAGTTTCCATCCGTTGCTCCTTGTCCTGCCTTCAGGCGCTTTGAGAACAGGTTGACCCCTGAGATACTGGAACACGGCTATCATGTCCCCCCTCGTCCTTCTCTTCGTTAAACTAGACCTACTCAATTCCAGCAACTGTTCCTTATATGTTTTAGCCTCCAGTCCCCTAATCATCTTTGTTGTGGTGGCTTGGGGCTCACAAAACTCGACTCCTCCATCTGTCAAGCAGAGCAGAGGGCAGCGCTTACGTTTTCCACTCCTGTCACACTTCAGTGTCGAAATTACCATTTTTCCCTCTTGGCCTTTATCACCTGCCTTCTTTCTCTCTACAGGATGAACTGTCTCATATCAATGCCCGACTGAACATGGGGATTCTGGGCTGTAAGTATCTACCACCTTTTCTTTCTTTTATTAGTTTATAATAAACAATACAATGAAAATAACAAAAGTAAATAGCAGAAAAGATAGGGAAGGGGAAAGGGAGTAGAGAAGTGAGGTAAGGGAGAAAAAAAGGGGGGGAAAAAGGCATTGGCATCCGACTTCCTTTGGTGCAGTAAAGTAGAATATCAACATCAAACCTCAATCTAATTGGTAAAACCCAAAATCAAAATTTCTTTTTTTTTTCACCTCAAACACAGTCTAGAAGCAGTTTTCCACGTAACCATAAAAGTATTCGTATTCTTTTCTTTAATCAGTACAGTCAGTTTAGCCATCTCTGCTAGCTCCATCAGTTTTTGTAACCATTCCATGTAGTCCTCCATTTCTGAGTGTAGAGTAATCTTGCTGCTGTCAACATACATAACATCAAAGTTCCATATATTTTTTTCCCAGGTCTTTGTCCATTCGCCTCAAGTACCTTTTCTTTCTCCTTGAACAGAAAGAGGCATTCTGGGGTTTCTGGGTGTAGAGAAGCTTTTCTTCTTTATCATACAAAACTTCTAATTACTGACTCGGAAGTTCTGCTTTCAGAATGAGAACTAATTAGATGTTTGGGGTTTTCTTTTTCTCTTCAGTTAAGAACAACGTTGTATTGAAAAATGTAGCAAGAAAAATAATTTCACTGGATCATCTGAGGCTGGAATGAGATTATGCCATTTTTTACAGTTTTTTCCTTCATGCAACAGACTGGAAAATAGATTTAATTCAAAGAATGCTACTGAGTGCATTATTGACCTTTTTTTCTTATTTAATGATATGTTGATCGTGCTTTTATTTCTGATCGCCTTTCGCTGGGGATGTGTATGAATCACTTGCTGAAGCTGCTTGGCAGTAAATTCAAAGCAGTTTAGAAAGTGTTTTTTACACAAGTATTTTGTTTTAAAGTCCCATTTTTACCGGCTCTGGGAACCTCCTTTTTTTTTTTTCTCTGTGCCTGCCCTGCTCTTACTTCCTTTTCAAACAAAGCAAAGCTTCCAGATCTGATTCATGGGTCACCTGGTTTAGGATTATTGACTTATTTAGCCTATTCACATAGTCACCCGTCTCACAAACACGCAAGTCTGATGACATACAACATAACAGCAGCTGAAAACTCCATAACATTAAAAACAGTCCAAGATAAATGAAATAAGCATATAAGGCAAACATAAAATAAACGTAATCCCAAGAAAGCAGGAGAACAAACATCACTTAATCTTATGCAGGCACCGTATAGGCTCTCTCTGGGATCCCCAAGGCTGGTGAAAAAAGTATGCTTTAAAGCAGGAGTCTCCAACCTTGGCAACTTTAAGACTTGTGGACTTCAACTCCCAGAATTCCTTAGCCAGCTTTGCTGAATTCTGGGAGTTGAAGTCCACAAGTCTTAAAGTTGGCAAGGTTGAGGACCCCTGCTTTAAAGGCTTTCCAAGAGGCTGGCAGAGATGGGGCTAACTACACCTGGGGAGAGGGGGGATGATGCTCCAGGGGAGGGGCCACAGCAGGAAAAACAGGCCACCTGGGTCCCACCAGATGGAGTTCCCCAGGAGAGAGAATCTGCCACCTGCAGTAGCCCTCCTGCCTGACCTAGTGGGAGGGTAGAGGTCATTGGGAAGAGGCAACTTCTCAAACAATCTGATCCTGTGCCAGGGAGCACCTTAAAGGGTCATCAACGCTGCCTGGCAGCAGGATCTGCAGCTCTTCTGGAAGGTTTTTGTCTTCCTGTCCTGAGAGAACCTTTAATCTGACTGAATACAGGTAGTCTTTGACTTAACAACAGTTCATTTAGTGACCGTTCAAAGTTACAACAGCACTGAAAAAAGTGACTTAGGACTGTTTTTCACACTTACGACGGTTGCAGCATCCCCGTGGTCACATGATCAAAATTCGGATGCTTGGCCACTGACTCACATTTATGACGGTTGCAGTGTCCCGGGGTCACGTGACCACCTTTTGTAACCTTCTGGCAAGCGTAATCAGTGGGGAGAGCAGATTCACTTAACGACCGTGTTACTAATTTAACAGCTGCAGTGATTCACTTAACAACTGTGGCACGAAAGGTCGTAAAATAGGGCAAAACTTACTTAACAAATGTTTCGCTTAGCCACAAAAACTTTGGACTCAATTATGGTCGTAAGCCGAGGACTACCTGTATTGCTATAAGTGCTGATCGATATGTAGAATATCTTTGTTTAATGGCCGAGCACGTGGAGGAGTTGGAGAGGACCACTTGCAAGTCTCCCGGATCCTTTCTTGGAAAAAAGGATGTTGGGCTGGTTAGGCGCTTGCTTTGAGCCACACATCCTCTCCCATCTGTAAGATGACCTGCCCAAGGAACCAGATTCCACCTCTTCTCCAGGACTCGGGGTTCGGGGTGTGGCTGCTTGTGCAATAACACCCCTTCTTTTCTCCTCCTTTGCAGCCTATGACCCTCAGCAGATTTTCAAGTGCAAAGGCACTTTCGTTGGCCACCAGGGCCCCGTCTGGTGCCTCTGTGTCTATTCCATTGGTGACTTGCTCTTCAGTGGCTCTTCCGACAAAACCATCAAGGCAAGACGCTTGTTCTTTCTTTTAACCTTTGCATGTGGTACAGTGTGGACTTGAGGGGGCCTCGGGAAAAGCGCGCCCTCTTGCTCTCAGCCAGGATTCCTGGTGTCAGACCTGCCTCAATTTGGGCTTCTAAGTAAAAACGATCCTTGGTTAGTACTTGATTGTGGGCAATGGCTGTGGACTTGAAGAAAAGAATCCCAGGGGGGAAAAAACAATATACTGTAGCAACTATCATGGTTCCGATAGACAGAGACGAATAAAGCAGAACTCCGAAGCTTGTGAATTCCTCAAAGAACATGCTTATTGGTTACAAAGTATCGGCACAGTCAAAAGTGAAATCAAGTCTGAATTTCCCACTAAAAATTACCTGGTTACAAAGTATAATGCCCCACCCTCAAGAATATGCATTTTACTCCATTTCCCAATAGAAATGTTTGGCGGGCTTTCTAATACACCACCCCATCCTTAGTCCTGGGAGTATGAGATGACCTTGATTCCCACGGGACAGAATATTGTTTAGACTAGCAGAGAGTCTGTGAAACCCCCCCTCCCTCCTCTGCATGTGGCAACCTAGAATGAGACAGAGAAAGATGGCTTGTTGTAGAGTTGACAGCAACAGCAATAAAACGTAAGAGTTATGTACCATTTCAGAGTGCTCTACAGCCCTCTCTCTAAGCGGTTTACAGAGTCAGCATATTGCCCGCAACCATCTGGGTCCTCATTTTACCAACCTGGGAAGGATGGAAGGCTGAGTCCACCTTGAGCCGGTGAGAATCGAACTGCTGGCAGTTGGCAGAGTCAGCCTGCAATGCTGCATTCTGACCACTGCGCCATCAGGGCTCTTCATGTCAAACCACTTCCGTTATGTTGCCAAGAATTGTAAGGAGTGGAGCTTCCCTTAAGAGGATGTTCCTTCTTCTGGCCGCCAGTAGCAGTTGCCTTTACCAAACGAGCGAGTGAGCCAGAGTCAGAGGAAGGGCCTTTTTAACTCCTGGGTGGAAGAGCCATGCAGGCTGCGTTAGAATTGTCATTCCTCCGCTCAGAACCAGCCGCTTGCTTCTGCTTGTCTTAACTTGCATTTCAGAAAGCCAAGCGATGAAGAGAACAATTGTAAAAAAAAAAAACAAAAAACGTCAGTTGCTGTCCAGTTGGCTAGCTGCCTTGGTAAGGTCTGCTTTTAAAATCGTTAGTTCGTTCAGAATTAAAGCGGCATATGTAATAATCGGAGAGCCGAACAATGAGGGAGCCCCTTGTTTATCAACTCTTTGGGGATTCTTCACGCACGAACCTTCTGCTGTCCTCTCCCCTCGGATCTTGATGTAATTTAGGGCCTGAAAGACTCAGCTCAGCTCATTTTTGGCAGCTGGTATTCACAACAGTGAGGGAGTACTTGAAAATTCCCCAGAGGGCGGTGTGTTGGAAGGCACAATGCTAGGCAAGGGGTTGTGTTCGCCCCCTCTTTGGAAGAGCAGGCCGAGCGCTGCTTTAGCCTCCTCGCCTCCAAGGGCATTGAAGCGGGCATTTGGCAGTAGCCCACTCCAGTTTTGAGGAAAAGAGGTAAACATTGTGTCTCCCAGGCACAACTCCAGCCTCCCTTCCTGACCTCTGGGCCATTAGGACAACTGCCGGGAGCTGCACTCGTTTGCGTCCAGCTCTCGGGGAAAATCTGCCTACCTGTTTCCTTTCCTTGTCGGAAAGAGAGGAAAGCAGGTGGGCAGGTGACAGCCAGGTGCTTCCTGCCTTCCCAGCTCTGCACTGACTTCCTGCCCTGGCTCTGGTTGCCCTTGAGTCCAGTCATGTGACCTTTTATTTCCTGCTAGGTCTGGGATACCTGTACCACTTACAAGTGCCAAAAGACTCTGGAAGGCCACGATGGGATTGTCCTGGCACTCTGCATCCAGGGGTGAGTCAGCCGCTGGCTTCATTTGCCTTCCTCTGCTCTACTGTATAAAGCAGTGTTTCCCCTCCTCGGCAGCTTGCTGATGGGTGGACTTCAGCTCCCAGAACTCCCCAGCCAGCTTGGCTGGCTGGGGAATTCTGGGAGTTGAAGTCCACCCATCAGCAAGCTGCCGAGGAGAAAAACCACCGATGTAAAGCTAGATTTCTGGTAGCTAGATTTTAGTTCTGCTCATTGTTTTCTTAAAGTCAGCCAGCCACTTCTCATAAAAAGAACTGTGTGGATCCTAGCCTTGTTTTCAGTAATGAGGGAAATGCCTTATTTCTCAAATGGCAATGTGAATTACATGTGAGCACCAGAAAACCCTGATTTTTGCAAGTTATATTCAAACTGAACTCATTTGTGTGGATTGTGTGGCGTTGCATATTTTTGGTTTAACCAATGCAGTCCTAGGCTGCATTGACAGAGGGATAGAAGGATCAAGATCACTTGAACTGTTTGCATCATTTTATAATGCCTTGGTAAGACCACACTTGGAATACTGCAGCCAGATTTGGTCGCCACAATATAAAGAAGATGTTGAGACTGTGGAAAAAGTGCAGAAAAGAGCAACAAGGGGGCTGGAGGCTAAAACATACAAAGAACGGTGGCAGGAATTGGATATGTTAGTCTAGCAAAAAGAAGGACTAGGGGAGACATGATAGCAGTCTTCCAATATTTGAGGGGCTGCCACAAAGAAGAGGGGCTCAACCTATTTTTCAAAGCACCAAAAGGCAAGACAAAAAAGAATGGATGAAAACTAATGAAGCAGAGAAGCAACCTAGAACTAAGAAGAAATTTCCTGGCAGTGAGAACAATCAGTGGAACGGCTGGCCTCCAGAAGTTGTAGTTATTCCATCACTGGAAGTTTTTAAGAAGAGACTGGACAGCCACTTCTCTGGATGGCATAGGGCTTCTGCTCAAGCAGGGGGTTGGACTAAAAGACCCCCAAGGTTCCTTCCAACTGTGTTATTCTGGTTTTTCAAGAGATTTGGGATGTGTGCCATTTGTTCAATAATGGAAATTCTTTTAATAGCTCAGTTTTACAACAGATGTTGCAGTCCACATTTTTCTGGAGGAAGTTTACCCACCCATCCCTATCTTTTTTCATCATTTTGAGAGAAAAAATCGTGCCAATGAAAGTCTTCTAGCTCTCTGATTTCTTTTTGTTTCTTTTGCCCAGGAACAAACTGTATAGCGGCTCAGCTGATTGCACCATTATTGTAAGTGGTCAGTTTGGGGAGGCAGGGCAGGGGGTGGTGGGGACCTGCTTTGGCTTCCTCCAGGAGGGGGAGAGAAGGAAGTTCCTGATCATTCTCTTGCGCAGGGTCTCCAAACCTGGCAACTTTAAGACTTGTGGACTCCATCTCCCGGAATTCCTCAGCCAGCTATGCTGAGGAATTCTGGGAGTTGATGTCCACAAGTCTTAATGTGGCCACGTTTGGAGACCCCAGCTCTTGCGCTATGTACAGTAAAGCTGCCGACACCACTTGTCTGTATCCTTTTTGACTTTTGACAGGTTTGGGATATTCAGACCTTGCAGAAGGTCAACACCATCCGTGCACACGACAATCCTGTGTGCACTCTTGTCTCCTCGCACAACATGCTTTTCAGCGGCTCCCTGAAAGCTATTAAGGTACATTTTCTGATGCAGAGGAGTGGGGAAAACAGAAACCTTTGGGGCCCTTTCCTTCCATTCCCAGATCCTTTCTTTTCCCGGCCTAAGAGGTTTGTCCACTTAGATTTGCTCCCTTCTCTCTGCCGGTCATTCTGGGTTGATATAGGACCTTCCTTGATCCTTCAGAGCTGGCCTTGCTTTTTCCTCTCCCCTTTTCCTTGCGTTTCCTGCTACTTTGACTGGTGTTCAGACCTGCTGCATTATTCATTCTCTTCCCTTGTTGAACTCCTCCCCATTCTCTGGTAATTGATTTCTTCTCCTACTTGTCCATAATTACCCGTTGCAGGATTGTTGCAAGGATAAAGATCTCTCCTCTGAGCTCCTGGGAGGAAAGGAATAGCTCAGCCTAATAATCCAGCCTTTCCCCCACCTGCTCGCCAGAATTCCCCAGGCATCATGGCTACCGAAAGTTACGTTCTTGACACCTGGAGAGCATCAGATGAGGAAGGCGGTTATTACGTTCCTTTTCTTCCAGAGTGGCATGGGGGCCTAGAGGTGGGGCTCTCGCCTCACAATCAGAGGCTATGAGTTCGATCCTAAGCAGCAACAAATATTTCTCTCTCTGGGCTCCAAGAGAAGATATCTGCTCTGAACTCCGCCTAGGTGTCAGGAAGGCCATGCAGCCAGTAAAGGGTCAACTCTATTCCGTCGCCCTGACTCCACCCCAATACATGGTTGTTAAAAGAAAAACAAAATGTTCCTTTTCTTCCAGGAGCTGTGAGAAAAGACCTTCAGTCTGATTGGTTTGGCATCACTGAAAAAGTGGAATAGAAATGTAGACCTGTGTAAAAACAGGTGGGCTCTAACCACTGCCCAAGTATAGTTCATCTTTCCAGCCTTCCTCACTTGAGAGAACTGTGGGAACCCTTGAGAGTCTGGGCTTTAGTTTCCCACACCTTGTATGGAGCAGGCATAGGAAGCTGGTTGGCGGTCCTGCGTTTGAGCTGGATTGGACGATCTCCCATCACTGTTGAAGGCCTGATTTTGGCTGTCCTTCTGTCCCACCAGGTCTGGGACATTGTTGGCACTGAGCTAAAACTGAAAAAGGAACTGACAGGCCTTAACCACTGGGTCCGGGCACTTGTGGCATCCCAGAATCACCTGTACAGCGGCTCCTACCAAACCATTAAGGTAGGTGTGCTCTCAGATGGTCCACCAGCTGCGGCTTCTCTTTGCAGCCTGGGAAGAAGATTCCATCAGCTCTTTTCTCTCCTCTGCTCCAGATCTGGGACATCCGGAACCTAGAATGTGTGCATGTCCTACAGACGTCTGGGGGTAGCGTCTACTCCATTGCGGTCACCAACCATCACATCGTCTGTGGCACTTACGAAAATCTCATTCACGTAAGGATGAGCGAAGACCAGGACGCAGGAGGAAGGGGGCACTGGGGCACTTTGCAGCCTCTTTCAGCCTTCCCCAGAGCCTCCAGTCCTCTCTTTCCGGGATCTGGCAAGCAGACCGAATAGCTAGAACAGTGATGGCAAACCTTTTAGAGACCGAGTGCCCAAACTGCAACCCAAAACCCACTTATGTATCATCGGGTGCCGGATGGGCATGGCCCATTGGGTGGGTGTGGCCCATGGGTGGGTGTGGCCCATTGGGTGGGCGGGGTCTATTGGGTGGGCATGGCTGCGGTGGTAATGACAGACTGGGTGGGACTAAAAAGTTCAATCAATTCCAATTTTGCGAGATCTTTTTTTTTCCCGCAAGAAGTTGAAATTGATTGATTGAACCTTTTTTTTTTTTTTTTTGCACACGGCGGCAGAGGCCTAAAGCGAAAAGGTTTTATAAAACCCAGCTGAAGGCCTAGGACTGGGGCGACAGCGCGGGTGCCCACAGAGAGGGCTGTGTGTGCCACCTGTGGCACGCATGCCATAGGTTCGCCACCACGGAGCTGGAGCAACCAGAATCGGAAGGGGGAAACAATGGGAAGGTAACGCTCGGCCTTTGTTCTCTTCCCTGTTGAACCAGGTGTGGGATATTGAGTCAAAAGAGCAGGTTCGCACCCTCACGGGACACGTGGGCACTGTGTACGCTCTGGCAGTCATCTCTACGCCGGACCAAACCAAAGTCTTCAGCGCCTCGTATGATCGGTCGTTGCGGGTACGTAAGGCACATCAAGTTGTTGGTTCAGGGCGAGGGGCACAGAAGAAGACCATGGGAAAAAGGGGGAGGTGGCAATTGAAGGGATCCTAACAGATCTTTCAAAGTCTATTAATTTGATGAAGTGGAACTCTTAGGAAGCAGGCAGCTGGGCTCCTGATCCCTGAATAGCTGTACGGTCATCCCAACCCAAGGTCTCGTCAGCTGCCTGCCTCTACCAACAGGGCCCTCTGCTGCTTGAGGGACTTGTGTGTGTGTGTGTCCTTGCTAATCTCCTTTCTCCAAAACCTTCGGAATGAATTGCATTACAGGAGAACAGGATGAGCTCTTTCGGGCCACGGTCTTGTTTGAACTGATTTCTTCAAAGTTAGGCCAAGCCCAAACAGTTTGAGAGAAAATTAACTGTATAGAAGCAAGCAGAAAAATTGATTTCATTTCATTTCAATTATTTGTACGTTATGTGTGGGTACCGTATGATTATTCTCCATCCTCCTGTATTCTAGTGATTTGCCCTTGTAGCAGATTCCCAAGTGCAATTTTGTAAGAAGTTTTTGAGATCATGTAGGGCAGGGGTCCTCCACCTTGGCAACTTTAAGACTTGTGGACTTCAACTCCCAGAATTCCTCAGCCAGCAAAGTTGAAGTCCACAAGTCTTAAAGTTGCCAAGGTTGAGGACCCCTGATGTAGGGCACTCCCACCATGAGAGGATTGTTCTGGGAGACAAAAGTTCGACCTGAGTGTCTCTTTGCTCCAAACCCCGAGAGAGGGAAAGGCCAGTGGAGGCTATGGTGTCTTCTCCTTTTTTTGTTTTTGTTTTGTTTTACAACCCTGTAATCCCTTGCTTCGGGGTGGGGTCAGGGCGACTGAATGGAGCTGAGTGTTTACTGCCCGGATGCCCTTCCTGGTGCCACACGGAGTTCCCAGTAGGTATTTTCTCTTTGCGTCCTGATAAACATCTGCCGGTATCTAGGATTGAACTCTTAACTTGCAAGTGGGAGGCGAGCATCTTCACCTCTAGACTGCCGCGCCCCTCCCATGGTGTCTCCTCCTTGCCTGGCCAGTGACACCTGATGCAGTTGCAGAATATTAGCAGCCTTTCCCCAATTGCCCCAACTGAGGAGGGCCTGCCCTTCAGCTGCATCTGATGCACATCCTAAGTACAAAGTCCGCGTGTGGCCCGGATTTAGGCAAAGAATGGGATCCATGGCTCAACACCATTATCTGCCTCAATCCAGGCCACATGCCGTCCGCTACGGCGATCTACCACCCTCACCATCTTGCCTTGTTCTCTTCCTCCAGGTATGGAGTATGGACAACATGATCTGCACCCAGACACTCCTGCGCCACCAGGGCAGCGTCACAGCACTGGCCGTCTCAAGGGGCCGCCTGTTCTCGGGGGCTGTCGACAGCACTGTCAAGGTATATACTGAGGGGGGGAGGGCTCTCAGTGGGAGGAAGAGGCCCCTCCAGTTGGCTCAGAGCAGCTTTTGCAGCTGGCTTCCTAGTTTCCTTGAAAACAGCAGACCAGGGAGAGCTAGCATTTTTTTCCAGGTTATGCCTAATACAGTGGTGGCGAACCTATGGCACGCATGCCAGAGGCGGCATGGAGAGCCCTCTCTTTGGGCACACGTGCCGTCGTCCCAGTCCCACCTCCCCTTACGGCCCCCTCCTCACTAGCAGCCCCCCCGGAGGAGAGTTGTCCCCAGGTGCGGCCCACATGGAGCAGTGCAGCCAAGGATATGGCAGCTGGGCAGCGGAGACAAGACTCTGCCCTCATGCCCCATCGCAGAGTTGATGCTATGGGGTGCGGGCGGAGGGCGTGGCCACCATGGCGGTGCAGGGCCACCTGGGCGATTTGTTGCGGCAGGCTGTGGAGGCGGTAGGTGGCCCTGCGGGCAGGCGGGGAGGGGGCGGGGTCGTTTTTGGGCACTTGGTGTCTAAAAGGTTCGCCATCGCTGGCCTAGGAGCTCCACCTCAGTAGTTGAAGTCCACAAGTCTTAAAGTTGCCAAGGTTGAGGACCCCTGATTTAGGGCACTCCCACCATGAGAGGATTGTTCTGAGAGACAAAAGTTCGACCTGAGTGTCTCTTTGCTCCAAACCCTGAGAGATGGAAAGGCCAGGGGAGGCCATGGTGTCTTCTCCTTTTTTTGTTTTTGTTTTGTTTTATGACCCTGTAATCCCTTGCTTCGGGGTGGGGTCAGGGCGACTGAATGGAGCTGAGTGTTTACTTGCCGGATGCCCTTCCTGACGCCACACGGAGTTCCCAGTAGATATTTTCACTTTGTGCCCTGATAGAGAAACATCCTAATTAGATGTGTTTATGCTACACATGGAGGCGAGGAGCAGGAAGAGGAGGAGGCAATGGAGGGGGCTTGTCACCTCTTTAGGAAGAGCTCTTTTTAATTTGAGACACAATGTAATAGAGTCACAAGTCTGTGCCTTCCAGGGGTCTTTTGCAAGCCAAGATGTGCTTATATGGGGCCTACTCGCCTACCATGGTTTAAGGCACGGGAAGGAGCTTAGCTTACTTCCGTGCCACACATGGCTTCCCTGGCGCTCTCCTCCTTTGGGGAGGGGTCCACTCACGAATGGGAGCTTAGATTAGTTTTTCCTTCCCCTGTGCCACGGGTCACATATTCCGATGTTTAATGTTGAGCATTGAGAGAAAGAAGCCATTAGCAGAACCCCGAAGGTTTGGCCAGGTGCCCCTTGCTGGACCCTCACTGGGCAATTAGGTCTCTGTTTCGTTGCTCGGCAAGATCTTTGCCAGCCTCATTAGGTGGAGGACTTCAGGGAAGCAATTCCGAAGTTTTGTTCTGTTGAGACTGGCTGTAAAACTCTAATCTCACCACTTCCGAATGTCCTCCTTGCTGTGGAGTTGAGAAATATTTCAGCTCCCCTTGCACATGGCCACCAAGGTCATCTTCATGACTCTCCATTTGAAGTTCAACAGCACTGAAAAAAGGGACTTATGACCACTTGTCACACTTCTGACTATAGCGGCATCCCCGTGGTCACGTGATTTACATTTCGGATGCTTGACAACCGACTCACATTTATGACGGTTGCAGTGTCCCAGAGTCATGTGATCCCCTTTTGCAACCTTCTGACAAGCAGAGTCAACGGGGAAACCAACCGTGTGACTAATTGAAGAAACTGCATTGATTCACTTAACAAATGTGGTGAGAAAAATTGTAAAATGAGGCAAATTTCACGTAACAAATTTCTCATATAGCAACATAAATTTGGGGCTCAATTGTGGTCGTAAGCTGAGGACTACCTGCAGTGCTTAGACTTACATACCGCTCCGCTGTGCTTTTATCACCCTCTCTAAGCGGTTTACAGGGTCAGCCTCTTGCCCCCCCCCTCCCACCCGCCCGACAATCCGGCTCCTCAGAAGGACGGAAGGCTGAGTCAGCCTTGAGCCGGTCAGGATTGAACTCCTGGCCGTAGGCAGAGTTAGCCTGCAGTGCTGCGTTGTAACCACTGCGCCACCACAGGTCATACTGGGCCAGCCAGCGTGTAGTAGTTAGGGATGATGGTCAGGCCTCTACCACTGATTCCCTGCTTCCCCGGGCCTCCCACCATTTCTATAAATTTGTGGGGTTTTTTGCCAGGAATCAGAATGGTTGTGGGGAGGGGGGGGGATAAGTTCCTAGGAGGTGGGCGAGTCAGCCATTGTCTGTTCTCTTGCAACCCGGGAGTGCAGAAGCCACCCTAGAGATGACATTGGTGCACATATTGTTGCGTTGCTGCGTTCATCGCAGAGCTGCACTTGCACAGCTCCACAAAGGGACCCTTTGGTAAGGATCGGCACCTGGTAGGAAGACTTCTGGCGCTCAGGATGGCCCCTGGGCTGATGTGACACAGGTCCTGTCAGACAAGGGTCGCCTCTACATCCCACTCCAGCCAGCTAGGCTGGCTGAGGAATTCTGGGAGTTGGAGTCCAGGTGTCTGAAAAGTTGCTAAGATTGAGAAACACTGTCCTACACAGTGATGGAGTTTGGGCTGTGCTGACATTTCTCTCCCTAACAGGTTTGGACCTGCTAGGGATGCTGCCCTCCGCTTTGGACACCACGCTGCCAAATACACACGCCGGCTCACTCCGTACACTCCAAACACCCTCCAGATGTGCTGTGTTCCTTCTTGGTGGGCCCTCCACTCCCCAGCAGCTGTGCAAGAGCTTTGGGCCACATACCTCAGCACTGCCCCCCTTTCGCAGCAGCGCCTTCCCAGGGAGGACTCCCCTCCCCCCCCTACCAATACGCCACTCCAGCTCCAGTTCCTGGTCTGGCTCTTCTTGGGAGAGAGAAGCAGCTGGTGGATGCTGGCCGAGCTGCAAAGAGGGGCAACGAAGGCTGCACTCCTCGTCGATGGGAGACCGTCTCCGAGAGCAGTTTTTCTACGAAGCTGGTTTGGATCGGTCTGCATGAGCAGCCACAGCACCTCGCCCAGAGGACCCCTCTCAGTCCTGATATTTAAATTATTTGCTACGCTCCTTCATTCGTGGCCCCAGCCGGGGGTAAAACCCAGTGTCCTGTCATGTAACCCGGTACGATTTTTATGTCCCCAGTCCAGCCTTCTTATCAGGTATCCTAAGCCTCTTCCCCCCCCCACCCACCCCCTCTTCAGAGCATCCCATCATCATGGCCTCCCTGGGAAAGGCAGGAGAGCCAACGGTTGTGTTTTTACGGACATTTTCTACTGTTTTTAAAATTGTGATATAGATTTGGATTATTTCTTCCTTACCAATAAAATTGGACCATTGTTTTAGGCCAGCATGACTCATTGACAAACCTGAAGCATTTCAGCCGATGAACAGAATTCCTCAGGAGCGGGGCCCAACCCTGCCCCCACCCCCCACCCCCCCAAAAAAAGTTCGAGGCTGACTTCTATGGATTTTGGGAGATACCCACTCAACACTCCCTGGCTGATCTGTGATGAGCACCTCCTGGGTTGCCATCAGTCAGTAAAGGTAACAGTCCCACTGACTGCAAAGATATTTGCACGTAGCGCAAGGAGCTTATTGCTCAAAGCAGCACCAAAAAGGCTGAATGCACCGACCAGGGCTTCGTGTGATCACCTGTTGCCAGCTAAACTGGCACCTATCTGTTCAATTTCTTAGGTTCAACTAATGGTCATCTGTGGCATTCTCCTCCCCCAGAATGCTGCTCTTGAGGTTGCTGTTTAAGCATGAAACTCAGATGGCCTTTGCATTCAACTTCCAAAATGCTGAGACAATGTTTAGAGGTAGGAATTGAGGGGAAAATGACAGACCCACAAGCTGGGCACTGACTGTTTCCTTGGAGGGGGGGGGGAATGCCTTCATTAGTTGCATTTGGCCACTGCATTGCCCAAAAAAACTGAATTACAGTAGGAGATGTGTAGTGACAGAAGTAGTTTCCAGCGGTTTGTTTGTTTGTTTTTCTCTGTGCAAATGTTCTGGCTCAGTACGATGTAAAAGTGGGAGATGTAGAAGAATCGGCTTCACAGACTGTTCCACGTTCCAGCTTCCGGTTGTGTTACATAAGATGTGCAGCTTTTACAATGGCTCCAGCTGGCACCCAGCAGCCCTTTCCCATCACACAGCAGAAGCTTTTTCTCCCCTCTGGCTGGAGCCAAAACACGAGTTGAGCGGGCCAAGATAATCTGGACGTTTTATTAAGCACCGGTGGTCATAAATGCATCCACATTGACGCATGCCTGGACTGTGAGCTGCAGCACCAACTCGTCACTCCCTCCGCACCAGAGCAGCCAGAAACACCCCCCCCCCAAAGTTAGTGCCTCCGAGGTGGGATTTTTTTTCTGACCTCAACAATAAAAGTATTATTTAACAGTGAATGTCATGTATCTGTATTAAAGACGAGCAGGGCCTTCTTCCCCATTTTTGTCTTTAAATATTGATAGCCAGATAACTTCTTTTTTAAAAAGAAGCAGTAAAAAAAAATACTCCACCACAAAGCTATTAATATAAGTAATACTGGTGGAATGTGTGCAGGAAGAAAAGAAGATTAGAAGCAGAAAATGCATAGCTTCGACAGAAGGGGAATACAATACAGTATCCATAACTTAATAATAAAAATATAATGTATATATATAGATAGATAGATAGTATGTATGTATATATCCAGCATTAGAATCTTGGAATAGTTTCTTACACATTTTGTTTCTCTTTACAACAGCTATTGTTATGTTGCCTTTTTATTTTATTTTTAATTAAGAAATTTCAAAGTTGTGCCAGACACGTTTTGGATATCAGCAAAGACAGACTATCCATATTTAAGAAAAGAAACAGGAACAGCATTCACCCAGCAAGTCTAGCTCTCAAAAACCACAGCTCTAGGAAACCAGATAGGATGTTTCAGACTTAACAGCTGTGTTTAAACTGGACTGACCCCCATTTGTACATTAGTGTACAGCTGGGCATATGTTAGTGATTTCCACATGCATGCACTTCAACACGCACTCGCATACATACACAGGCGCATATAAACGTACATCCAACTTAAAAAAGACACAAAAGAATGCACGCTTTTCAGATAGGATTAAACAAAACTTCTTAAAACAAGGCACATCCTTTGATTTTTCAATAAAACTGTAAAAAGAAAATGGCAAAAAAAAAATCCATATAACATAATGTTTTGCACGCTTTGAAAAAAAAAAAAAGAAGATAAACTACCTTTTTAAACATTGTGCTACTTTTTTAAAATGACCTCACAAGACACACAGCTTATAATAATTCTAATAGTCAAGCTAAACTCCAGTTCTTTCAATCTTATATTTTAAAACTTCAATATACAATTGATAATATTTTAAAATCTTTTATATATATATATATTAAACTCCTTTCCTTCTTTTGTTATTTATCTCTGGGGGAAATTCCACTTAAATATTTTTTTCCCAATAAATACTTTTTTTATATATAGCTTATTTTTTTTTTCATCCCTTTAATCACCTTCCAACGGAAAAGCTGTGTGAGTCTCTGCACGCATAAGAACATCCCAAACACGGCTGTCTCAAGAGGAGGAGAGCTCTACCAGTGAAATAACAAAAGAAACAGCACCACAACTCAACACTACTCTTTTAAGGTGGAAAGAGCTCCATGATGTCTCTCAAAACAGTAGCTCTTCCAGAAGATGACCACGAGTTCTCCTGAGATCTGAACTCCAAGCCCATGGGGGTTGGGATGTATAGCAAGCCGAAGGGAGACCGTCCCATTTTTTAAGCTGCTTCGTTCTGGATTCCTTTACCGGATGGAGCGACAGGAAGAATAGACAAAGAGGAAGGAACCCAGCATGTCATGATCACATAAGTGAAGAACGGGTCCCATGTTGGAGGTTGGGCTGCCACTCAAGAAGATGCAACTGATAGTCTAAGACAGGGGTCCTCAACCTTGGCAACTTTAAGACTTGTGGACTTCAACTCCCAGAATTCCTCAGCCAGCAAAGCTGGCTGAGGAATTCTGGGAGTTGAAGTCCACAAGTCTTAAAGTTGCCAAGGTTGAGGACCCCTGGTCTAAGAGAAGATGAAGCTGTGGTAGCCCCACACATAAGTTTTGTTCCTATCACTGGTATTTTTATGCTTGGCTGACAGCAGCCATAAAACGTGAGACGTCTCAAGAACCCGCTCAAGAACCCCATCCGCGCCATGTTGTCTGAGAAGAGTCTGCAAGACAAAGCTCCCAAGATCTCACTGAAAGTTGGTAGCTCTTGTTTTGTTTTTCCTTTATTGCCAGGTGATTCGATAAAGCAAAAAACCAAAACATGATGGAGTGAAATGTACAGGAAACGGAGAACCCAGCAGCAAGGGAGACCTGAGAACTACACCAGATAAGAGGAAGGAGAGATGAAAGGCGAGGGCTTCATCCCATGATCAGAACGGATGCCCTACAAATCAGATGGCAGCATGTGGAGAGAGGAGGTTGTGGCACTTTCCCAGCCCTCTCGTCCCTCTAATCTCCCGAAGAACATCAGTTGATTCCCAGCTGCAAATTGTAGTTCTTCATTCCCGGAAGATAGAAGTTTGGGGAAAAGAGCCTTAAGCTAGCTAGTACCTCGGTACTTTCATCCGTGGGAGAGGAAGATGGTTCAAGTGCTTCTGGTTTCAGAGGCATGACACATGAATTATGGCCACAGTTATTCTGAAGTACAAACACATCATGAGGGAGAGAAATATAACCAGCTGAAAACATTTAAAAGCCAGTTTAGGCTAGAGATTAGGAAACGCATTCTTAAGAGTCAAAAATAAGTAGGCACTGGCAAAATTCCTTCTGAGTACTTAGGGGAATTTCTTTGATGGAGCTTTGTAGGCAAAGGAGTCATTTGGAAATAGCAGTCAAAGGTTTAAGAATACTCCCACTGGCCTTGGACAAAGGACGACATATCTTGGACACTTGCCCAGAATGCTCCTGTGGGCACAAGGTTTAGAGAACCCAGTAAATTATTCAAGTAAAATGATCTACCTTTCCTCGTAAAATGCTGCTTCTTGCCATCATAACGTTGTTTTATAAATTCCACAAGAAGGAAGACCAAGTGAAGCTGAAATGGAGCAGCTCACTGAGAACATGGCCGGAGGGTGATCCAAGTCTTCCCATGCAACTTGAAGAAGCCAGGAGATCCCGAGAAGCTCATCCATCAGAAGCAGGAGCCAGACAAAGGCTGGCCTTCCCTAACGGCAACATTCAAGCATTCCTCTTGCAGCCAAGGGTCTTCCTTATTTCCTATCAAGACCCTTCCAATTTGCAAGTGGAATAAACCAAAGTAAACCTGAGGATAGTAGACAGTTCTGAATTGACAGAACAATTTGTTCCTCTCATCACTATACTATGATTTCCTCATTCTAGGAAGCCTCAAGTTGGTTGATGAAATTAGAAAATGAACTTGCCACAACACCAAGGTGGTGCTAACACTGCCTGGGGAGTAACGAAAACAGCAATTCTGCACTACATACCTGGAAGATGGAGAAGGCTCATAAGAATAAACTTTGGCGTACAACCCTTGGGTAAGCAAAAATTGTGATCCTCTTGGAAGATGCCCCTTTCTGGAAGAAGAAACGGTGCTGTACTCGGCAGGATTCCTTGTCTCAAGGAAGCCCTTTCCTAACTGATTGCCAGAAGATCCCTCGCAGGTTACCCAGGATCAATCAGGGCAAGATCTGCGTCTCACGAGTCAGGAGTACAAGACATGTTCTAGCTGATGGTTGCAATCCTGGCTGAACCTCTTTTGGCTGCCACTTCCGAAACTGAGCCTGTAATACCAAAAGAGGACGCCTCCCTTCCGTGAAAACTCCACTGAAATACCAAACCACCACCGCCCTTGCCCTCGGTTTCCAGAACATGGATATGGTTTATCGTTCCTTGTCCGTCCATTGCCTGGTCAGTGATGTCTTCTTCCAACCTTGCTCCCAACGGTCACGGCAGGTTAAGAAGGCTAAATGGTTCAATCGGTGGCGAACTCTTTGGGACAGAAGTGCCTTAGAGCAATAGAAAGTGCAGGGCAAGTCCCTGTGCTCAGAACTGCCTCGAGAGAGGGGTTAAAAAAAAACCAAAAACATTGCCGTCCATCTTTGGCAGCTGCAAAAGCCACCAATGGGTTTTTATGTACAAGGAGATTTTGGCCAGGATGCTTTTGTCCCACCCACCCCGCCCCGTTTTTTTTTCTTTTCATATTTCATCACTTTTATCGATCATGCAAACATACCAAAGCTTTTGCACAGCTTTTGCCAGGAATGATGCTTTCCAAGGCAAACCAACAGAAAAAAGAGCTTGTATCTCAAAGGGGGACGTGTTAACAAAACAAAACGTCTTACAGTCACAGCTTCATCATCACCAGGAGAAGACAAACACCTTCAGGACAAAAAAAACAAAGCATGCAGCTTGCTGAAGGTTCCCCCACCCCCCACCCCGACTCACAGGTTCCCTCAGGCCTTCCATGGCTGCCTCTACCAGCATGTCCAGCGGTGGCAGATGGGCGCATGAGCTGGGCATGGAAGGAAACGCGGTGTGCAGTCCAGAAACACCCAACACAGAAGGCAATAGTCATCGCTAAGACGAGATTTCACCCCAAACGGAAAACATGAAGAACCAGAGAAGACTAATACTTATTTGTGCCACGTACTTTGATAGTGTATTGGGATGGTAACAACTCAGGACTGATCTGGAGAGAGGGGAAAGGAAACCTTCATAATTATATGTGAGGGGAAAAGCCACTTGGAGTGGATGGAGTAGCTTCGCCCGGAAAGCTGTGCTGAAGAAAGTGTGACGCTCGCTTTCTCCCGTTGCCATGGAAGCTCTGCCATCCCAGGCCCTGACCTCCGACTCCACTGCAGGAGAACTGCAGTCCTGCTGTTATCTCTAAGGTCAAACAGGTGTTTGGAAGGGATGGGAGAAGACACCCAGATGTGGTTCCTCCCTTCACTTTGCGAAACAGGTCCCGAGGAAAGCCTTTCTCAAGCATCTCAGTTTGTTTCAACACAATCCTGAGGTAACCTTGTCTTCTTTGTGCAAACCTCAAAAAATGGAGGAGGGAAGATCTTCATGGAGGTGATTGTGCCCTTGTGCCCATGGCAGATCCTGAGGTTGGCCCGGACTGTTCTCCAGCTCTCATTCCAACATGGCATCTAGCTGGTCAGCAAGATCATCAAACATGCTGCCGATGTCATCCAGGATGCTGACAGTACTCTTGGATTCTGCACTGGAACTGAAGGCAAGAGATATAAGTGAGGTTAAGCTGATTCCAATTCCTCTACAAAACCCTTGCCTTAATTCAGCTTCCTAATGCCTCTATCCTTTGGTTAATTAAATCTGAGCACATATAACAGCAGTAATCTCATCCTGCCTTTCTCCTATTCTGTTCTCCTTCACCTTTTTACTAAATATGTCCTTTGTTCCCGAGAATGGACAACCCATAGAAGACAACAGATGGCTGCACCTCCTCATGGTGCAGAACCAACAGTGGCTGTTTCACCCAGCCTCTCTGGTCTGCTGGACTTTCTGCAGGCCTTCTGGCTCCTCAACCATTTCTGGCCTTCCCCACCCCTTCCCGTCCTCAGGAGTGCCTTACTCTGCTGCTTGTCCATCCTCTTGCTTGATCTTCTCCTCCACAGCTTGCAGAGCAGCAGCCAGAGAAGCACTGGTCTCCTCCAGTTTTTGATGCACACTCTCGGTGCTCTCCACTGAAGGCCCAGCCATGGAGGAGCGAGGTGGCTTGACTGGCACGGTCTGAGGAGGTAGCCCTCCGGGAGACAAAGGCTTAGCTGGGCTGGAGCAGAGGGAAGGAGGTGTGCTTGAAGGCTTGATGGTAGGGGTCAGCTGCTTGGCCGGTGAAGGTGCTGGTGTGCAGCTGGCACTCACTGACTGGAGGACAGGGTGGACCTTCGGCTTCGGAGCAGTTGGGGGTGGTGTAGGCTTTGGAGATGTGGGTGGTGGGGTCCCATGGACACGTTTCACCTCTGCAAGAGACAAATAGCACCCACTATGTTAGAGGAAGTGGTCATAACATGCAGATTCCACTTGGTAGGACTGCTTCTAATGTTTTCTATCATTAGGTAGACAGTCCAGCTGTTACTGGAACTGGATTCAGTGAATATTAAAGATGATAACAACGATGCCCCCTTCTATTCAGCAACTAGGAAATATTAACACACAAGCTTGCAGTTTCAGGCACACAACTCCATTCCCCAGCCTGATTCCCAGAGTACCCCCCCACACACAGACACACATACACAAAACCTCCCATGTGCCGCCCAACACTTCTTTGTGAGCAGCTTATAGGAGCCTAGATATGTGCATGGATAAAGAAGCCCTGTGGCAGCCTCGGAGCCCAGAGAAACAGCTGTGAAGCCCCTGGAACTGTGAGCTCAGAAGCCCCCTGCCAAAAACCATGCTCTGTGGGTTCCCCAGGAAGAGGCTTTACCTGGGCTTCCAGGGCCGGGAATCGGAGCCCTTTTGGTGGTGGGCGTGGAAGGCCCTGAGGTTTTGGGCGGCAAGATGGGCTTGGGGGAGACAGGAGGCTTGGTGGGCTTCTTGGCTTCTCCTTCACGGGGGATCTGAACCAAAGCCCCTTCCCCTCTCTCCTTCTGCTCTGCGGGAGCCACAGCCCCCAGGCTGCTCATTTCAGAGGTCGGCCGGCGCTTGACTGTGCCCATACCATTGTGGTACACTGAGAGCTGGGCCAGCTCTTGCTCCTTCTCTTTTGACTTTGGCCGCCTTTTCACAGTATCCGATTCCGTTAGGATGAACTTGACATTGTCCTGTTGACACTGCTTTGCCCGGATCCTCCGCTTGAGAGTGGCACTGGCCTCCACTCTGGAAAGGTCACCATGCCGATGGGCCAGGGACAAGCCCTCCCCACCTTCGGCCTTGGCGAGGCTCATCTGCCGGGGACGCTGCTTGATAGTCAGGCTGCCCTCCTCAGCAAAGGGGATATTTTCTCCTGAACCGTTCTGTGGGGAGCTCCCGCTGTGCTCTGCTCGCAGCCGTTCCATGGGGCCACCATCTTTGGCCAAATCAGACTTGATGCTGTCCGAGCGTTCACGGCGAGCAGCTGCCACAAGCCCAGTCACAGGGCCACTGATGGTGCGTCGGCGGTTCACCACCTCTCCGTCTGGTCCAATGGCCTCTTTGTGCTTGACAGTGGCCAGAACAGTTGCAACACGGATGTGTTCCGGACTGGCTGAGCGCACAACCACACCAGGCTGCAAGTAGTACCCGTCAGCCCCCTTTTGCAGGGCAAGAGCCCGCCCCCCTCCACCGATAGATGACATTTCTAACATGGCAGCAATACTCTTTACGCTCCCAGCACTGCCTGTGTCCACAGTGCCCCCGTCACTCAGCTGCTTCTGGGCCAGTTCTTCTCCCTCCTCTCCTTCTTTGCTAAAATCGTCCGTCATGTTGCTGCTGGAGATGGCAGAGCTGGAACGTTTGGGCGGCGGAGGCGGAGGCCCCTTCTTCTTGGGCCGCACAGCAAAGGACTGGCTGCGGTTCACGTTCTTGTCGGCACCCGACTGTGCCCGGACAGAATGGCTGCGCCCAACCCTCCGCTGCACAGTGGCATAGGGCCCAGCATCTGGCACCAACAGCTCATCCCGCTCCTGCTCACTGTCAGACATTGCATAGCGATTCAGACTGTGGGCCCTCTTCTTGGGCCGACCTGCCTCCTCCTCGCTCTCCGCAGCCTGGGGTGGCAGGCACAGCACTGGAATGGAGATGGGCAGGACCGGCACGGCTTGAGCCAGGGGGCCCACGGTCTGAGCCTCTCCCTCCACAGGCTGCGGCATGACATATGCAAAGCCCCGGTGCGTTGGAGACTGAGGCAGTGAGCGAGGGGACATGGGTCGGTCGGTCTGCGGCAGCAACTGTGGTGTGGGTTTTACTTTGGCTGTGGCGTGGGGCACCCCGAAAGCCTGAGGAGAGGATGGGCGGGGCTTGGTGGGAGTTTGCGGAGGGGTGTAGTGGCCTGCAGCTGGAGGGAAGGATTGCCGGGGTTTTCCAGGCACTGGTGGGACGCTAGCCCTCTTGATGCTGTGGCCATGACGGAGGCTCCGCACCTCCTTGGGCAGGGTGGCTGGAGGCTCCTTCCCCTCTTCTGCTAGGTGCTCCTGGCTTTTGGATGCTGCAGGGCCAGGAGATTTGGGCCCATCTCCCAGCAGCTCCTGGGAACTACTAATCAGCTTAGCTCTCCCACTCAGGCTGTTCTCATGAACGAGGCGGGAGGGGTGCCGGTACACAGTTCCGTCCCGGAAGTGCGTCACATGGTTGACCTGTTTCTCAGGCCCCTCTTCACTGGTGCCTGTCATGGCCACCTGCAATTCATTGCTCAGCTCGCTGTCCTGGAAAGTGGACATCTTGGGGGACTGGCATTCAGCCGTTTCCTGCGGAGGAGACTCTATGGCCACTGTGTCCTGTGACTGTGGTGCACCCTTTTTCTTCAGTGTTCCTGATTCATACTTGATGTATTCAGCTTTCTGGATCTCCACCAACTTTTTCACAGCTAGCATCAGCTTCTTCTGGTGGCCTAAGCAGATACGAGAGATCAAAACTGGTTAAAATTCTAGCACAATCTTTATAAATAAACCTCCAAACCAGTACAATTGTGTCTCACTAAGCCTACTGAGAGCCAGTTTGATGTAGTGATTAAGGCATGAGTCTAGTCCTGCCTTAGGCATGAAGCCAACTGGATGACCTTGGGCCAGTCACTTTATCATAGCCCTAGGAAGGAGGCAATGGCAAACCACTTCTGAAAACAAAAGATTGCCAAGAAAAAATGCAGGGACTTGTTGAGGCAGCATCCAAGAATCAGACAGGATTGAAGAGAAAGGGAAAACAAGATTTACCACAGATCTTAGTTCAGCCACTTCACCTGCTGGGTGTCCCTTTGCTTCCCCCAAAATCAACATATCTGCTTAGTACAGCAGCCCTGAGCTGGAATTGGCCTACCAGGACATTATCTTGTCCTGGTAGGGCACCCACTTTTCGTGAACCCCATTTTTTCTGCTCCTTGCTGTTCAATATACAGCAGATGGGCTGTTTGGTTGGATGGCCATCTGATGCCCAACCTTGCCCAATTTCAGTATCTATAATCACCCTTCTTCCCTGGCATCTAGGTTAGATAAGAGGAATGGACTCCCCTTTTTCTTATTTCTTCCTCCTCTTCGCAGCTCAGAATTTGTACCCCTAACAACATTTGGAAGAACCCAAAGGAATTCGTAATTCCTAAAGATCAGTGCTCTATTTTTAACGATGCAGAAATTTTTACGAGTCTTCCTCCCTCCCCCCAAGTTTTCTTTTTAAATAATTCAGTCACTAAAATGGCAGATGCTGTCTTCTGTGGCACTTGAAGGAACCTCAGCAAATGACTTTTTCCCTTGTCTAGTTAGGTCATTGGTGTTCAGCATTTGGAAGAATAGAATAGAATATAGAATAGAATAGAATAGAATAATAAAATATAGAATAGAATAGAATATAGAATAGAATAGAATAGAATAGAATATAGAATATAGAATAGAATAATAAAATATAGAATAGAATAGAATAGAATAGAATAGAATAGAATAGAGAACAGGACCGAATCTTGGAGGTCTTCTAGTCCAACCCCCCAGCTCAAGCAGGAGACCCTAGACCAGTGATGGCAAAACTATGGCACGGGTGCCAGAGGCAGCACTCAGAGCCCTCTCTGTGGGCACGCCTGCCGTCGCCCCAGTCCTAGACCTTCAGCTGGGTTTTATAGAACCTTTTAGCTTTAGGCCTCGGCCGCCGTGTGCAAAAAAACCCCCGGTTCAATCAATCAGTCAATTTCAACTTCTTGCGGGAAAAAAAATCTTGCAAAGTTGGAATTGGTTGCTTGAACTTTTTAGTCCCACCCAGTCTGCCGTTACCACCGCAGCCACGCCCACCCAATGGGCCACACCCACCCAGCACCGGATGATGCATAAGTGGGTTTTGGGTTGCAGTTTGGGCACTCGGTCTCTAAAAGGTTTGCCATCACTGCCCTAGACCATTTCAGACAAATGGCTGTCCAGTCTCCTCCTCCTCTTTTGAACCAATACATTACACTGCATTATATCCCTGCTGTCTGGAGAACAGCTTCTTGTCTCTTCCCAGCTGATCTGTTCTTCTCCACATGCACCTTCTCCCATCAAACACCAGCTCCATTGCCAAGATATTTGAGGCCCAGTCACAGTATAGGCTGGGCTTTCCCAACCTGGCACCCTCCAGAATAATGGAAGTTGTTAACTTCAAGACATTCTGAAGGCACCAGGTTGGAGAAACTGAGGCAGACTGAACCAGCCTACTCTTCCCTCCACTTTACTCGGAACCAAAACCAGCCATTCATGCACAGAGGTACCCAAAGACCCTGATTCAGTTTCTAGTTGAGAATGGAGTTGTCTCCACCCTCCCCTCACCCAGTTTGGTGATGCCGATCTCCTGCAGATCCTCCCAAGTGATATCGGTGATGAAATCGATGTTCTCGTAGCCATTTTCCACCAGGACTTTGTAATACTGTGCCAGACCGATCATGGAAAGCCAAAGTGCCAGGTTTGCCTGGGAGAGACACAGGATATATAATAAGCCAGTGTTTCTCAACCTTGGCGACTTGAAGAGGGGTGGACTTCAACTCGCAGAATTCTGGGAGTTGAAGTCCACCCCTCTTCAAGTCACCAAGGTTGAGAAACACTGTAATAAGCTGTTTCACAGAACAAAACCCCCCAGTGGGGCCCACCCACCATCCTAACTCTAAATGGCCCGCTATGGGTAGAGGAGCCCACGGTGCCCAATTGGTGTCTACCGTGTTTTCGGCGTAGTTCCCCCATATTTTTTTCCCCACATTAAACACACCACCTGTAATTTGAAAAGTCTCAGAGGAATTTCTGACCTCTTCCCCATAATTAAAACAGCCTTGAAATGCTACCCTACCGCCATTGTTGATTAGCAGAGTTTCCTCCGAGACTTTTCAAATTAGGTGTGCTTAATTAAGAGCTTCTGCCGGACTCTTCAAAGCGGCGTTTCGTTCTCCTGCTGCCAAGTTCTGTTCCAGGAAGGGGAGAAGAAACTTTTGGTTTCTCCTCATACAGGTCATCCTCGACTTACCACCACGGTTGAGCCCAAAATTTATGTTGCTAAGTGAGAAATTGGTTAAGTGAGGTTTTTTTCTTGCCTGGGACACTGTCAGCGTCATAAATACGAACCAGTTCTCAAGCATCCGAATGTAAATCACATGACCCTGGGGATGCTGCAATGGTCGTAAGTGTGAAAAATGGTCATAAGTCACTTTTTTCAATGCCGTTGTAACTTCGAACTGTCTCCAAATGAACGATTGTAAGTCAAGGACCACCTGTATTTAGAGCAGGGGTGTCAAACTCAATTTCATTGAGGGCTGCATCAGCATTGCGGTTGCCCTTGGGGGGGGTGGCCAGGATGTGTGTGGCCTACTGGGTGGGTGTGGATGGAGTGGGTGTGGCCTACTGGGTGGGCATGGACAGCTCTACATCGTTCGCGTCAAGGGTGCCTGTGGGGGGCCTGGGCAGGAGTGGGACAGATCTGAGGGTCTCTGGCAGAAGGGGGTGGGACCAGGGCAAGCGCCAAGGCATGGTCCATTTCTTCATTCCTCACAAAGGGTGACACCTCCCCAGCATGCACCCAGGGGGCAGGGCCGACGCGGCAGGGGCTGGTTCCTTGCTGTTTCTAGACGGACTTGTGGAGCTAAGACTGAATGCGTTTCAGCGTAGATGGCCACCACAAAATTGTACATTGGCTCCCGGCCGGCCAGGGCCAAGGCAGCGGGGGCCGTTCCCTCACTGTTTCCAGGATGGCTTTGCGGGCAACATGAAACCACTTCGCGGGCCGCATCCGGCCCTCAGGCCTTGTGTTTGACATATCTGATTTAGAGGAAGACAGTCCTATGCCACTAGAAGAAAAGGAAAGCAGGTAGTCCTTGACTTACAACTGAAGTTATGACGCACCTCTCTGGGAGTAGTTATGACCCCATTCCAAAGTTCCAACGGCCCCTCCCCTCCTCCCATGGTCACATGACCTTGTTTTGGGCACTTGGCAACCAGCCCGCATCTACGGCCATTTGCAGCATCTTGTGGTGACCACATTTTACAGCGGTTCTGCTGAAAAATGGCATTCCGGTTTGCAGCAAAACTGGCCATAGTAAACCATCGACTCACTTAACGACTGCCGCAAAAAAAAAGGTTGCAAAATCAGGCCAGTCACATGGGTGACCCGATTTACCAACCGTCATGACTGCAGTGGGTGGGCTCCATCACGGTTGTAAGTCAAGACGTACCTGCAGGCAGTTAAAGCTTCTCCCCTCTACAGTAGAAGGATCAGGAACTTAAATGAGGGAGGTGGCCGAAGGGAAGCTTGTAACCTGTACAGGTCCTTGACTTATGACCACAATTGAGCCCAAGATTTCTGTTGCTAAGTGAGACATCTGTTAAGTGAGTTTTGCTCCATTTACAACCATTCTTGCCACAGTCGCTAAGTGAATCGCTGCAGTTGTTAAGTTAGTCACAGGGATGTTAAGTGAATCTGGCTTCCCCTCTGACTTTGCTTGTCAGAAGGGCGCAAAAAGACGTGATCTTGGGACACGGCAACCGTCATAAATATCAGCCAGTTGCCAAACATCTGAATTTTGATCACGCAACCGTGGTACTGCTGCAACGGCCGTGTGAAAAACTTGTAAGTCCCTTTTCTCAGTGCCGTTGTAACTTTGAACAGTCACTAAATGACCACCTGCATTTGTCAGGTTCTTTTTTAAATGGAGGCGGCTTCTGCATTATCCTTACGGAAGAATTCTAGCAATAAAGGAGAGTCTGAATCCTAATGTTGCTTCTCCCGTGTGGAACCACAGCGTGAATTCTGCTTTCAGATGCTCTGCAGAAAAGCAAAGTCTCTGGAGTGCTTCAGAGAGCCCGCCAGGAGCAGAGGCAAAGTTGTGAAAGTCACCAGCAAACCAACAGCCAAGTCTGCTGCTGACACACTCTGGGATTTCTGGACCTTTTAGACTAGGGCTTCCCACCTCAGGGTGATGCGCCTGGCCTGCCTGTCTCCAACCTCCCCAAACCCCAAATGCAGCAGGATGAGGCCGCTCACTGGCTTGTACTCTGGGAGCCACTCGGGAATGTTCAGATTGTTGATCTCGGAGGCGATCTTCTTTCGGTGTCCTGGCTTGGTGACCCCAATGGCCGTCAGGTCCTAAGCCAAAAAGAATGGCCCCATCATTCGAGTCCCAGAAAGCAGCAAGCACACATTATTAAACCCCGGAACCATTGGAGCTAGGAATCGATAGAATCAGGGCTTTTTTTGGTCATAGAACGCTCAGAATGGAGTTCCGGCACCTTTTTTGGATGGAACCTTGTAAGGTAGGCAAGGCAGGTTGTATGACGTGTGTGAGTTCTGGCACCTTTTTTTTTTTTTTTACAAAAAAAGCACTGGATAGAATATTTGTAGTTCAGGATTGAATTGTGGGGACCTTGATGCCCTCTGATTGCGGCTGTTTTCTTGCAGACGTTTCATGACCTAACTAGGTAACATCGTCATTGCTGCAAGACAGAAGGGTTTGCTGCTTCTTCTTTTTTATACTAGTGTCGTTGTTGGTGGGAGTGCTTTGGCGGTTCCTTGATTAAGGTGTTATTTTCTGATTGTCTGAGTTGGTAATTCCTTGATTGGGGTATTGTTTTTTTAATTGTTGGTTCCAAATGGACTGTGGCCCAGGGGTTGGGGACCCTTGCTCTAGCGTTGTTGGACTAGGTTTGGTCTGGGAACGGCTGAGAAGGCCCAACCACCTAGAAGATAAACCTGCACCATTGTGATATACATGCAGTAAGGCGAAGTCAAGCTTGCCTCCTGGGACATCACGTCATTTCACAGCCTTTTCAGGATGTTTGTTCAGTGAAGGAAACCAACCCACAAGCTCAGAGAACGAACGTTCACCCTCATATTCACAGTGATTTAGCTTCCAGCATGGAACACCATGTGGTCTTCCATCCCAATTCTAAGCCAACCTGATCCTTCTTAGATTCTGAGACCAAACAAGCTCAGAGAAGGATCACTATTCAGTGTCCTCTCTCACTTCTTTTCAGGGTGTGGGCCACCCACCCACTCTCCCACCCACCCATCCAGGCATGTTATCAAGGAGCACCACTTGAGGAAGAAGAGTTAAATCCAGATGGAGGACAACCGGTCAGTTCCTGAACTACGGGCTAGGCTGGAAAGCCAAAACACATCCCAAAAAGTGTTGGCAGAGGGCAAAACACCTCTTGCCAAAAAAATCTGCTCGGGTGGATTTTGCCAATCACCAGGAATGAAGCTGAACTCAAGGAAGGTTTTTTTTCCCGTCCAAGAATGACTCATGTTCTATTTCAGTTTCTTTTTAAGTTAAAAAAAAAAAGGCTTCTTAAGCTCACTTTGGAGAGGAACAGAAGATGCCTAAGAAAGGAAATGAAGCTTCTTACAATCATAATAGGTAAAAGTTTCCTCTGTCCAATCCTGCCCGAATCCAGACTCATCTCTGTTTCTTAGCTGAGGGAGCCAGCATTGTCCAAAGACATTTCCGCGGTCATGTGGTCAGCATAATATGCAGCGAAAAGCAAAACCTGTTTCATTTTATCTACTTGTATTTCCATGCTTTCAAACTGCTAGATGGGCAGGAGCTGAGTTGAGGATGGGAGCTCACCCCTTTGCACGGCACTTGGGTCTCAAACCCTGGCTTGTCAGCTTTCCAGCTGACAAGCTCAGTTTCTTAACCACTGATCCATTGCGCCCCAACAATCATAATAACACCCGCAAACTAAAATGTGGGTCTATCCTCTTTCTTCCTACAGTTCCAGGGACAGGTATCGGAGCTAGGAGCGACAGCCGGGTGAGTCCGAAAAACCAAGATGATGGCATCAAACGTTAAAAACAGGCAGAATTTTGATTCTGCCCCTGTGGCCACCATCCTGCCTGTTTTTAAACCACACTTTGTGGAGACCTGTGCATTAGGAAGCCATCGTCCTTTTTCTGCCAAACCAATGGTTTTTAAAAAAGTCTCAGAAGAACTAAGTGTGCCCAAGGATTGTGTTGATCTGCTGCACTTTCATTCCTTATAATCATTTGAATGGAAATGCTCCCACCCAGGTGGTTGCTGGTTACAATCAACACATTTATGTGATTTGCGTTGGCTTTGCTTTTTTTAAAATTCTCACTTCTAATGTTAAAAATAGAACAGTTCTTTGAAAAATCATCAGGATGCTCCCACCATTCCACCAGCCCCTTCCTGAGCTGAGCGGCCAATTCCTTAGTCCTCTCCCACAGACCCCCACCTCCTTATTTCTCAGTAGGAGCCCTCACCTCGGGGGTCATCCTGCTGATCGTGGGAATGTCGTAACCAGCATTGATGAAGTTGGAGGCATAGAGTTGCAGCTGAAACTTGTAGAGCCACTGGTAGACGGCCTCTGAGCTCTGGGTGGGAAGACGGGCACAAGTCATTATTTATAGATATTACATCTCTTTAAAAAAAAAAACCGGAATCACCTGCCTGAATGCCTGACAGAGGGAGATTTTGGCAACAGCAGTTCTTATTTTTTTCCTATCCTTAATGAGGTTTATGGTCTTCCTTCTGGCCTCGTCACTGTGACCCCCATCACTATTTTGGGATCTCTTCCTACTTGCAGAATCTCTCTCCTTGCAAGAAAGCCATCTGCTTCTAACCCAGTGGTTCTCAACCTTTTTAATGCTGTGACCCCAACCGGTCGTAAGTCGAGGACTAAACCGGTCGTAAGTCGAGGACTAAACCGGTCGTAAGTCGAGGACTACCCAACCGGTCGTGAGTCGAGGACTTTCCCTGCCCGGGAGCGCTGCGCATGCGTGGTTCCGCCCCCTGCGCCGGCCGAGGTGTAGCTGGCAAGCGGCAGAGACGGAGCTGGCCCAGCCCAAGGGAGGTAAGGCACCCGCCGGAAAAGGGGGAAAAAAATGGCAGACAAAAAAATGGTGGACAGCCTTGCTTGGCGACCCCCGTGAAATGGTCAATCGACCCCAAATGGGGTCCCGACCCACAGGTTGAGAACCACTGTTCTAACCCTAGCTGCAGGTTCCTCCCCCTCCTCCTTTTCCACATTTATCTATTCAGTCTGATGAGGGGTGTAATAAACCTAAAAAGACAACCATTAAAAAAATGGGTCTCGTAAATGGAATCGTACCCTACAGCTCTGCCCTCTTCTGCAGCATCTTGAATGTCTCAGGAGGAGCAGGTGAAGCTGAGAGAACCAAAGCTGCCAAGCAAAGCCAGATTCCCCCCTCCCAGGCAAGGTGGGGGCAGCCTAGTTCCTTTGGGGGGAGGGAAGATAGAGCTAAAGGAGGAGCTGCCCCCCCCGACACCGCAAGCCACAAAGTGGCACAAAAAATACCAAACTCATCCAAATTTTGGCAGCCCAGAGAAGGCATCCTTAACTAAGCTCTCTCCCTTCCTCTCCCTCTCTCTCTCCCCTCTCCTTTATAATAGATTGGAAAAGTCGGTTTGTACATAAAAAGGCTGCAAGCTCAATTCCACAATGGAATCCAGGCTTCATCTGAGCCACGTCCTGTCCCTGAACTCTACCAGGCCACGTTTTTGCCAGCTCAGTTCTCCAGGTTTTATTCAGAATTCCAGAATAAAGGAGACTTGAGGCAGGAAATGGTGGTGGAGAATAAGGGATGAAATGGGTGCAAGCTCTTCAGACCCTCATCTGTCCCTGAAAACATTCCCACCCTCCCCCATAAGTCCAACCCAAAAGAAAAGATTACAGCTTGGGCAGCCCCCGAAGGAATGCCACGGGCTGCAGGGACCTCTTCTCCAGCTCTGTCCTGCTTCGCCCACGTCAGAAGCTGTTCTGGGGTGCCCAAACTTGCCTTCCCCTCGGACTGCGGCTCCACCTTCTTGACCTGCTGCTCGCCATACGGCTGGCTGGGGTATGGGGTGCTGCCCAATCCTGGGGTCCGGGAAGAACCTGTCACAGAGCAGGCAGGAATTCTCAACACAGCGGAAAATTAGAAGGAGCCTCGGGTGCAAAGAAGGCCCTGGGCACCCCGTGGGCACATTCCTTGGCAGGACAAGGTGGCCGGCCACAGGACATTGGGAGAAACGGACTAGCATGCAGGTGCTACAGCAGAGGTGGCTTGTCTGAGTGTGGGACACTGCCAGCCTCACATGGAGAACACGGAGCTGCGCAGGTGCTCTGCTTCCTTTCAAGCCGAAGGGAAAATGGGAGGCCCAGACTCACTCAGGCAGCATCTTCCTCCCACCAAACCGGTGGTAGAAGATCAAGATGGCAGCCAAGGTGACCTTGATGTCTCCCAGATCGTTTGAGGCCATCCAACCCTCAACAAGGATTCCAACCCTCTTCCAGTCCAGCTAACACGCAAGGTCTCTGGCTTGATCCAAGGGCTACCGAGACCTCCAGCATCAGACTGGCAGCCAGCCCTTGAGCCTCGGGAGGGAGGGAGACCATAAGTGGGCCCGGAGATTTCTAGATTTGTGTACTCCAGAACAGGGCAGCTCCAAAAGTAAAAGCTGCTGCACAGAAGATGCAGACCCCCCCAGCCGATCCACAACCCGGCCAGCATCACAACGGCACGGATCAGAGCAGCCCGGCTGCCTTATGCCCCTCACTACAAATCGAGAAAGCCCCTTCCCCAAAGTGAGCACCTTGACACACCATCCAGGATCTCAAAACGGAGTGCAATGCAGAAAGCAGCCTTTGCTGACATCCCCCCCCTCGCCCCCTCCTGCCACTGGGTAGCTCCTGAGATGCTCCATCCAGGGCAAGAGCAAGGAGCAGAGCAGTGATGCCTGGAGGGGGGGGGGAGAAAGGCCTCAAACATTCAGGATCCAAATAAACATCACAGGAGGCTGAGACACTCCTAACCGCAATCAAAGGGGACAGCAACACCAAAAGGATGGGGGGGGGAGACAGACCGACCTGCGATCAACAGCGCTCTTCACACAGAAGGCAGCTTGCATGTTCCACAGAGCCAGGAGGGATCCTGTTTTCCCTCGGCCATCGTGCCCTCCCCCCAGTGCTCCCCACTAACCGAAGCAAGCGAAGGCCTGGCGGCAGCAGCAGAGGGACAGGGTCATGTTCTCCAGGAGAAGCCGCTGGTCCTGGGAATAAGAAAACGCTCCCGCGAGGACAGAAGGACCAGCTGTCCTCCAGAGCATCCACGCACCTGCGGGTGTCTCCACCGCCTTGGCAGGCCCGTCGCTCACAGCAGATTCTTGCACAGACGCCTTCTGGGAAAGGACAGTTGCCAGCAGCTGAGAAATTGGGGGAGGAACAGCAAGAAAGCGTTAATCAGAAAAGAGTGGCAGGCGGGGGGGGGAGGGGAGCAGAGTAGAAAAACAGGGACTCGGAGAAGCCTGGAGGGAGAATCAGGTGCTTTTCTCCCCAAACTGTGACTCAGTTGGCAAAGTGGCAAGCTGCGGCACGGAGAGCAAACGGCTGGCACAATGGCGCTGCCTGTTTGGCATTCGTGGCTGCAGCCGAGTCAGCTCGAAATGAGGATTCTGGTGCAGGCAGGCAGGCAGGCCGGCCGCACCAGGGTGATTTGGGAGCTAGCTGCCTGCCCCTCCTCCTGGCCCAGTTTCCCCAGGGAAGGAAGGAGCCCCTGGGCCACTTGAGCCAAGCGCATGGCATCGGAAGGGGCGAGCAATCCAACCTGCAACCACAAGGGGGCGGTAGAAGACCGAACAACATCAAGGATGGACAGCTACTTGTTTGTTTTTGTTTGTAAAATGCATTGGCTGCCCATCTGAGTCCAGGATAACACTGGGCAGCTTCCAGTCTTAAAAAGATAAAAACTATACAACTAGACCTGGGCCATCGGGTGAGACTTGGGCCAGCTGGTGGGCTGGAGAGCTCCGGATTTAGCTCCGTGGCACATCCAGCCCTCTGGGGAGCAGGGACTCAGGCTTACCTTCACGCCTTCTGAACTGGGGTGAAGGGCCACATGGCTTCCGCTTCCCGTGCTCTGGCCACTGCCCGAGCTCCGTCCACTGGCGA